CCAGCCCACGAATATCATCATCCCATCTTGTCTCAGGGCGTCCTACACTACGTTTACCGAGTCGCGGTCTCCACTCAAGAACTTTCCGGCTCCAACAAAAAACTTAAACATGTTAAACCATTCTATTTCTTAGAATTATTTCGGAAATTCAAAAAGTAATCATTTGAAAGAGCCCTAATGGCCAGTTCACTTCAGTACTTCTTGCATGTATTTTTTGTTGTCACTGTCTCCTATGATCATCAAGTGATGATGTTAATAAGATGACATGGTAACGAGTTTAGTAATGATTAAGATGGGCACTACACTCAGAATACTATATGGATTTCTTTACAGTTAAAGTGGCTCAACTTCGGAACAAGCTGCCGTTTGAAATCCGGAGTTCAAAGTCACTTCCCATATTTAAAAGTAGATTACATACTCTCCTTCTGCTGCGAACTTAGTCTACTTGAACATTACATATGTTGTTAGTATGTAGGTATATATTTATGTTCAATTATATATATTTATATGTGGTATGTATGTGTATATATATATATATATATATATATATATACTAGCTGACTCGGCGAACTTCGTACCGCCCAAAAGTAATAATTTGCAATAAATTAAAATTGCGACTATAATTTGAGATTTAAACTATCCTATCTCTCAAATTGGATCGAACTGCACATGGTGTGCGAATTTTATTATAATCGGTTCAGTGGTTTAGGAGTCCATTGAGGACAAACATTGTGACACGAGATTTTTATATATTAAGATAATATGTATGTATATGTATGATAGATAATTACTTATATGTACGTATATTATATTAATTAAATTTCTCATCGACTCTGCTGGCTTACTACATCTTCTTTTCCGTTTAGCTTACCTATACCGTGAAGGTTGTCTGGAAGAGATCGCTTGTAGCGATAAGACCGCCTTTGTCCATATTATTGTTATCAATGTATTGTTTGTACCTATGTCCTTTTGTATGTGAGCAATAAAGTGTTTATTATTGAAGTTATACTTCTTTAGGCGCGTTATGAAAAAATGATGAGTGAAATTTTAAGATGCGCACGCACCAACCACCAACTTAATGCGTTACTTTTGTGTTTACCGCACATTAAGAATATCTACCAACAAAATAGAAATAGAATCTCTATTTAGTGAGTGCTAACGACTGCATTGTGAAGGCCTATCAAAAGTATTTATTAATCTGGAACAACGGAACCAAAGCGCGATTCAGGGGACTACAGCGCCATCTCTTGACCATTGGTGTAGTAGAACCAAAAACCACATCTTTATTTTTTGTTATAAAGTAGCAGTTATAGGTATTCATATTTATAATATCAAAAGTATTTATTAATCTGGAACAACGGAACCAAAGCGCAATTTTTTTATTTATTTATTATTTATTTATTTTTTCAAATTAAAACTGAACTTTATTGACTGTGTCCTTTTCCAGACTTTTTATTAATTTATTGTAATTAATTATTTGCATGCAATTAAAAACTAATTTTAAACGATGCCAAAGAAGGATAACTTCTCACGCGCCTACATAAGTACACGCACCCATTTTTTATTATTATTATTACACTTACGTTAAAGTTTGCTAATAATGAAATGCTTGACCAGCTGTGACTACGCAAGCCTCGGCCGCAGACCACCCCTGTGCTCCCAAAGTTTAACGATCAATCAATTGTGGCAGAAGTTACGGTTTCTAGTTACTTCGGAACGTAACTGAGACTTGACGGGGTCTCACCACTAAATTAGTTAGGTCTATTTCAGGAAGTGGCTTTTGAGACTAATACATAGGGATGGAGGAGCTCGATGGCGCAGGTGGTTAGCGCGTTCGGCTGCGATCGTTGTAGTTAAGCAACTTTCGCAGTGGTTGGTCATTGGATGGGTGACCAAAAATTTCTATCTCGAGTTCCTCCGTGCTCCGGAAGGCACGTTAAGCCGTAGGTCCCGGTTGCATCTGCAGTCGTTAGCACCCGCCAATCCGCACTCGGCCCGCGTGGTGGGTCATGGCCCAATCTCCCTATTCCATCCATAGGGAAGGCCTGTGACCCAGCAGTGGGGACATTAAGAGGCTGATGATGATGAAGATGACATAGGGATGGCGATTCTTTCCGAAAAATATCGATTTTTATATCGATTCGAATCGTGACTCGATCCCCAAAAAAGATCGATTTCTGAAAAATCGATCTTTTTGTTCAAGTTTTTGTTCATAACGTAGTTTAAATCTATTTTATTCAAATCAAGATACATATTATAATTGAACGATCTCTTATCAGTAAAATCAGGTAATTCGATGATAAAAAATACTTTTATTGAAACAAACGTAACTTTTTTTTATTTACGAGGGACGAAGGAATCCAAACATACAGCCATCTCGCTTTTATTTTAATAATAAATCCTTTAACCAGCAGCACTCTTATAACGGGTATATTCAAATAATTGTAAATACTTTTTTGGTTTATACCAAAAAAATAAAATAAATCGAATGTCGATTTTTAAGGGTGAAATATGGATTCAGTACTACATATCGATTTAGAAAATCGATCTTTTTGGCTCCAAAAATCGATTCTTCTATTAATCAATTTGAGATGGCCATCCCTACCTCTACAGAATTTTAGGATAGTCAGCAAAATCAATGCCATAACAGCCGCACGATGCCCACTGCTGAGCATAGGCTTCTTCAAGGATCTCGATATTGTTCTGCTCTCCGCATTTAATATCCAGCAGCCTTCCCGCGACTATTTGATTTTTTTAGTCCAGTCACGAAGATAGGTGAGGCCGCATCATCTATCACATCTTCGAAAGTGTACTGATCCAGCGGTGCCGGCCTTAATAAAATCCCCTACCCCGTGGTAGAACTTCATCCTGCTCTGCCCCCTGCCACCAGGAAGTTATTCGCAGAACCAGGGTTTGGGGAAAAAATGCTCCATCCATATGTGCAGCAGCCGCTGGAAGAGGAGAAGAAGGAGGGGCAGCGCTGCAGCCACCCCTCAGTCCCAGCCCCCGGGGACGTATGGAATAGCATCATCCCGGGACTAGGTCTGACGAAACAATGGAAAACACACAAAAAACACAATCTAAATAACCCAGACCATTGTAATAAAGTGAATAAAACAGAATCTATATATTTTATATAAAACTCAAAGGTGATCAACGCACAACCCAAACCACTGGACGGATCGGGCTGAAATTTGGCATGCAGGTAGATGTTATGACGTAGACATCCGTTAAGAAAGGATTTTGATCAATTCTACCCCCCAAGGGGATAAAATAGGGAATGAAAGTTTGTATGAAACTTTGTCAATTTTAAACCGATCGGTCTGAGACTTTGCATGCAGGTATAAGAAGAATCATAGATGAATGTCATTGTGTATAATACAAGTCTGAGAACAAAAACTGTAGTCTACACTTCAGCTCTATGCCGAAGCGAAGCGAAGCGAAGCGAGGGTGGGCCGCTAGTAATAAAAAAAAACCCTTCCCCGCGGAGCCCTGGAACCCTTCCCACCAGCAGAAATACAATACCACCCAAGGATACTGTTATTTTACTGTTCTTTTTTAAGGTGGAGATAGCTTCCTTTACCTTCACTAGATTGGTCCAGTTAGGATTGGTGGGTGGCTAACGCTTGTATTTACAGCCGGGACCAACGGCATAACGTACCGTCTGAAGAACGGAGGTTGAGCTTATAATAATAGGTCATCCATTCGATGGCCGGGCATTGCTCGACGACCTCCGTGGCCGACTGGTTTGTACGCCGGGTTTTATGGTGTCGGCCCGACTCGAGAGTTCCTGGGTTCGAATCCCGGTGGGGGCAGATGCTTGTGTGATGAATACGAGCATTTGTACTCCAATCATGGATGTTTAATATGTATTTTTATATAAATATGCTTATATATGTACAGTATATGTATTCTATTCGTAACCCTAGTATCCCATAAGCTTTACAGTGCTTACTTTGGGGCTAGGCTAATTGGTGTGAGTGTAGGAAATATTTATTTATTTATGTATTTGTTGCTAATTTCCAAGATCGCGGACCAAACGAGCTAACCACTTAATAAAGATAAACTAAAAATGGGTTTCAAATGATAAAATTTCCATTGAATTAAATGGTAAGTAAATGGAAAACGTAGTTAAATGGTAGAATTTTTTCTGGTGAGAGCGCTGCATGCAACTGTAGCACGATTGTAAGTTCTTGTACGAGGTCTTTGAACAGCAGCGGATATTTATTGGCTAAAATAATGCGACGGATGATAAAAAGCAAATGTTGCGTCGTAAATAAATAAAAAAATTATCATTGCGTATAAATGGTTGCCTAGTAGTATTTCATCTTCGATGCTCTATTTACTCCATTCCTTATTCGCTTGATGTAGATATTCGCCGAAACTGGTTCTCAAAAATAACCTGATCCATATTTTTAATCTATCTTAATTGTAACTTCAATAAAGAATTCAATCTTTTACACGACTACAAAGGTTTTTTTCAAGTTGAAACAAATGAATGGAATAATTCTGCTCAAAAATATTTTCCCGGAACTACGTTAATAGCGGACAAATTGAAATAAACTGCCAACCTTGTGCCCATTTATCATTCAACGGGGGATTTTAATAAATCTCTTTTTACAGACGATTTTATAATGGAACACGACAATTCTAATGGAAAATTACAGTATTGATTTACAATAATAATGAAATCGGCCCGACAATCTGAATTCATCATTAGTAAAATAATAGGCGCGCTTTAATCATAAATCTTCTGAGCTCTCGAAACAAGTTTTTATGAAGTCTGTTGGAGATATCAGTGTCAATATTTGAAAAAGATTGCTAAATAATGATAGCTTTGATTACTCAACCTAGAATGTTGAATTATCAGGAACATACCACACAACAATTGCCTATCAAAAGTTCAACCCAAACAAGTCTCTTCAGATTATTATTTATCGATGCACAATTGAAAACTCTATTTAAGGAAATCATGAAATGAGCAACACCCACTTTTCGAAATGATCGCGCTATATTACATTGTGCTTGTACTCTGTGTGTCTGCTGTATTTTCAACTAAAGTAAAACAGCAAGACAATGAAAAGACTAAAGTGGAAAAATATATTGATGGAAAATTGCCTCAAATCAATCAAAGATATTGGCTCCATTATCATGTAGCGCCGCCAGTAGGCTGGATGAACGATCCGAATGGATTCTCATACTTCAAGAACGAATATCATCTATTTTATCAGTTCTACCCTTACAAAAGTGAATGGGGCCCCATGCATTGGGGCCATAGCTCTAGTCGTGATCTAGTGAATTGGGATAGACTTCCAACAGCATTACTCCCGGAGAAAGAACAATGCTTCTCAGGTAGCGCAGTGCAAGATGGAGACCAACTTGTTCTTATGTACACCGCTCATAAAATAATCAATGGTACCAACAATCCTCCTTTATACAACGAATCTCAGTATTTGGCATATAGTAAAGATGGAGTGAATTTTGAGAAATATTCTGGAAACCCGGTGATGCCTATTTCACCTAACAGATCACCCGATTTTCGAGATCCAAAAGTTTGGAAGCACGGTGACTACTGGTATGTTGTGATTGGCAGTAAAAGTGATGAAAATAGAGGCAGAGTACTTCTTTACAGATCGAAGGATATGAAAAACTGGGTATTCTTATCCGTCCTTGGAGAGTCTAAGGCTGACAGCAATATGGGGTATATGTGGGAGTGTCCTGATTTTTTTGAGTTAGATGGCAAGTTTGTCCTTCTAATGTCCCCACAAGGTATGAAACCTGTAGGCGATAGATACAAGAATACATTCCAAACAGGCTATATTACGGGAAATTTCAGTTACGACACTTTTAAATTTCTGCCTGAAGGTGAATTCCAAGAGCTCGACTACGGACATGACTTTTATGCTACACAAACCATGGAAAAGGATGGCACGAGATATATGGTTGCATGGTTTGGTATGTGGGAAGTGGAACACCCTGAGGCTGTGGATGGTTGGAGTGGAGCGATGACTATTATCAGGGAGCTAAAGCTTGTGGGTAATAGGATTTTGATGAAACCAGTCAATGCAATGAATACATTGAGAGATAGAACTATTTTATCCGGTAACATGACTTCGGGACAAGTGCTTGAGTCCGACAAAACTGCCGAGATCATCATAAACGGTAACTTATCACAAAAAATTGAACTGTTAGTTGAAGGTAAAAGGGGCGGTGGTAAGGCGTGGATAAGATGGGATCCTTCTGTGGGTAAGGTTGTCGTAGATCGAGGTTCAAACGATTCACGCCAAGTGGAGTGGGTTCCTATAGGATCCAATTCTTGGAGACTCTTCTTGGATACCAGTTCGTTGGAACTCTTCTGTGGGGAAGGTGAAGTGGTTTTCAGCAGTAGAATTTACCCCAATGACCCTTGGAAAGTGACAAATTTGAGCCCTCAAACTTTAATCGTGCAGGCTTATCACCTGAAGAGGAGTGTCCCTTATTATAAAAGTTCATCTACGAGGAATATCCAACAAGCTGTTACTCTAGCACTAACCATTGCAATTCTAGTATTACATCAAAGCTAAGGCGACTACTAAGAACCTCAGTACCCATAACATGAACCAATATCGAATTCAAATAGTTGAATTCTATTTCTCTCTATTCTATATCTCGATACGCGTTAAATGCCAAGAAGTTTAGTATGAAAGATATTCAATTCTCGTTCGATTCGTTGTAGTGCTGTAAAACGTCTTACATTTGACGGTTATTAGAATCAAATTCAACTACTCGATTTTGATATTGATTCATGGTAAGGGTACAGTTAAAGTTACTTTGTTTATCACTAAATTACAACTAACAGAACTTGATTATAGGTAAATATAATTTTATTTGTTTTGGGTTTATAAACGCAAACGTAAGTGTAACGTGTTAAGTATTTTTTAAAATAAAGTGCTTATTTATTACGGAAGATATAACATTGATTTTAAGTTTTAATTTTATGTAGTACCTACCCTGCAGACTAGGTATATCTCTAATTAGGTCTATGTGGAATGAATGCACTTTTTGAAGGAAAAAAGTATAATATAGGGTGATAAATAATTAATAAATGCAAGTTGTTTTTTAACAATTAACATAAGTTAAGTACGGTGATAGAAATTGATATAATTTAACAAGTATGGCTTAAGAAAGATTTCTAAAAATACAACTGCCTGTGTAAAAGTAAGAATAAAGTAAGTAATGTATTGTTTAGTAATGTGGAACAAGAACTTGGTAAGAGCTGCTTGCTACAATATTAAGTATAAACAATCATCTATTCGTAGTGTTACTTATAAATAAAGTAACTTTTTCCGGTGAAAGAATTTTTAAAATCGTTTCAGTACCTAACCTTTAGTTTATTCGGGACAAACAAACAGAAATAGTTATAGTTATGATTTTATTTATTTTTTAAGCATTTAACTGCTAGATGTTTAAATCTAAATAAAAGTTTACTAGAAAAAAAAAATCCACGCGGACCAGGCAGCGGACGGGACTCGAACCCGCATCCTTCGCTATCCGGGCGAATGCACTGACCATTATGCTACCACGGCCCTATTAGCCGCGTCGAAATTTTCCTAGCCTTAAGCTGCAAGGCAGCGCCATCTCTTCGCATTGTAGGTAACCCACAATGTCAAATGAATACTTTTTCAAGTATTAAACATTTGAAAGAAGAAAAAGCAATTATAGTTATGTTTTTATTTATTTTTAAGCATTTAACTGCTAGATGTTTAAATCTAAAGAAAAGTTTACTAGAAAAAAAAAAGTTCTTTTCTAGTAAACTTTTCTTTAGATTTAAACAGCCAGCAGTTAATGCTTAAAAATAAAAATAAAATACCTAACTAGGCAATAGTGAATACCGTATAAATGATACTTTCAGTAGTTCATGAGATAATCGCGAATAAACAGGCGACGTGTCAGGAGATGTTTTGTATGTAGTAACTGATAAGGTAGAACACACAGAATGTCTTCAAGTGGTTTTCGAGTGGGTAACTGGTAGATATTAATTTTGCAACAAGTTTTTGTATGAGCTAATCTTATCTATTTGACCGACTTCGAAAAGGGGCAGGTTCCTAATTCGGTTGGTAGGATTTTTATGTATGTACAGTAAATACTCCGAGAGTTTTTATCCGATTTACAGTTGTATCCTTAAGAAATGGTTTTGTAGCAGGGCCCCAAGGACCCATCGTCTCTACAGAAAAAGGCAGTAAAAAATATATCTCACCTACATCCCGGTACTTGAGCCTTTTATTACAATCAGCTGCCACAGCAGCTGTACAGGGTTCAACTAAGGTCGTGTCAAGGTGACATAGAGCCAAAGTATCGAGGCATATTGCATCCCAAACCAGACTTCCTACACTCCAAGGTATAAGTGACATACCATCTGGTCGTCTACCATCCGAACGCAATACCCTAGATAGCTCCAAAACCAGGTATACCAATAGTAACTACAGCGCTTCGAATGATGCCGTTGATCGAAACAAGCCTAACTATGTGCTGGCACTCCTCTGACAGGATACACCATGATGTCTGTACCCTTTAATTTACCTGCTCTCCACAGCGGCAACTATGTGGTTCAGTTGTTTTGACCCCTAAACGAAGTGCAACTGATAGTGTGACAGGGTACAATTATCCAAACACGTACCGATATTTGAAGAAAGGTATGCATGCAACCAAAACCCTGAATTTTTTAAATTATTAATGTTATTAATGGGATTTCTATGAACCTTGTTTTTGCGATTCCCTGATATTACAGCACTGTTGCAAGTGCCATGATCACGGTGTAACTCCATTAATTTAAACAGCTTTATTATTTAAACAGCTCAATATTTCGTGGTAAAACCATAAAGTGACATTTTCTCTCAAATGATTTGCAATGTTAAAACGGAACTTTGTTTTGTTTGAGACCTTAATTGAACTTTTATTAGTACTAAAGTTTTTACTAATCATCTAACGAACTTTCATATCGGTAGAAATTTGTATTTAATAAAAGAATATGAAAACTTCTCAGCTCCCAAAAAACCGATTCTTTATGTGATTATCTCGATTGTCAATCTTCAGACAAACTATCTGATCGACACACTGTTGGGGACATTCGAAATAATATAAAAGATAAATCAGTTTTTTACCAGTATGATTTTTTAAACGATGGCGTTCTCACGTATATCGATTGTTCTCTTTTGCATAGTAATAGCAGTTAAAGCAAATCTAATAAAGCAACAAGACAATATTTCAGTTTTAGAAGAATATATTCAAAGTAAAAAATCGGAAGTAAATCATAGGTACAAACTACACTACCATGTGACCCCACCGGTTGGATGGCTGAACGACCCCAACGGATTTTCATATTACAAAGGTGAATACCATCTTTTCTATCAGTATTACCCGTATGACAGTAAATGGGGCCCAATGCATTGGGGCCATGTCTCAAGTCCTGACTTGGTTGAATGGAAACAGTTACCAACAGCTCTAGTCCCCGAGGAGGAGATGTGTTTTTCTGGAAGCGCAATTGCTGATGGTGATGATTTTGTGTTGATGTACACAGGCCGAATAAACTTAGAAGATGACCTATTCTATGAGAGCCAATATCTTGCTTACAGCAACGATGGCATTGTATTCAAGAAGTATGAAGGTAATCCAGTATTAGCTTCTCCCCCAAATAATTCTCCTCATTTTCGTGATCCCAAAATATGGAAGCACGAAGATTACTGGTACGTCGTTATTGGAAGCAACACTGAAGATGAAAGAGGTAGAGTGTTGCTGTATAGGTCTCTAGACATGAAGACCTGGGACTTCTTATCAGTTATTGGAGAATCCAACGGTGACATGGGTTATATGTGGGAATGTCCAGATTTATTCGAGTTAGACGGAAAGTTCGTCTTTTTCTTTTCTCCACAAGGCATGGAACCTCAAGGAAATAGATACAAAAACATTCATCAAACCGGTTACATTATTGGAAGTTTTGATTATGAAACATTTGAATTTGTACCAGAAGTTGACTTTAAGGAAATAGATTTTGGTCATGATTTTTACGCTTCACAAACTATGGAATGGGACGGTAAGAGATTTATTATTGCTTGGTTCAACTCATGGGAAGTCCCGTATCCTGAAGGTGAAGATGGATGGACAGGAGCAATGACCATGGTTAGAGAAATTAACTTAGTAGGAGATACGATAATACAGAAGCCGCTAGAAAGTATGTTGAAACTGAGAGAACGAAACATTTGGACAGGAGATCTAAAGTCAATGGAATCTGTAGAATTTGAAAAGACAGGAGAAGTAATTATAAATGGTGATCTGTCCCAGAAAATAGAATTGTTATTAGAAGGAAGTGACGGGGGTGAGTCAGCTTGGTTGAGGTGGGATCCAGAGGTTGGAAAAGTAGTTGTTGATAGAGGAGTTGCTGAGGATGTACGTCAAATGGAATGGGTGCCGATTAATTCCACTTCTTGGCGATTGTTTTTAGATGCTAGTTCTATTGAACTTTTCTGCGGGGAAGGCGAAGTGGTGTTTAGTAGTAGGGTGTATCCAGATGGAAATTGGAGACTGACTAACTTAAGCACTCAAAACTTAGATGTTGAAGCATACCATTTGAGAAGGAGTATAGACGAGTAAATATTCAATAAACGAGCTCTTTACTGTTGTCAAAAAACATATATATTCAGTCTAAAATAAAGTTTTGTAAATATTGTGGTCGTACTTAATTCGTTTATTTGTTATTATGAGATTTTCAATTATTTTAGAACCATAGTGAATGATTTATTTCATTTATTTGATTAATGAGTGATGTGCATGAAAACCTAAAAAACAAATAATAATTGTTTTATTAGAAGCAATAATCATATCTCAATTATTAAAAGTGTTATTTATTTTTACATGGTGTGCTTTGGTGGCACTTATAATTTCAGAGTATCATTGCCTTCTTGCGCTGGCATCTGTTTGTGGAACAGTTTTTGTTGCAGCTGCATCTCACAAAACATTGTCCTGATCTAACTGAATGTTTCGTAGCTGCAGTCCTGAACGATATTTCAGAGCCTTGGTTTACATCTGCTTTCTCTAAGAAAGTTTGATTGCAAATGTCGAATTCTGATCTATATAAAACATATTAGCTACTTTAGAATATCATTAATGCTCCAGAAGGATAGATAAGTAATTAAGTAAGGAAAAATAAAACCTGAATGATGAAAAAATAGAGCGGTACGCGTGCGAATTGCAGCGTGCCGACGTTTACAACTGAGCTACAAGCGTACACACTAGAACCTCTCACTGTATCACGCATGTTACGGTTACAGCAGCTAATGAGTACCAGGCTTTACTGTCTTCCGAACTCCCGGCAAAAACAAAAGAATCAAACAAAAACCAATTACAGCAAACACACTTCCTCCACTTTCTTCCAGCGTTCTTTTTACATGACGCGACCTGTACAAGTCCTGACATGTTTGTTCAATTACTTTCGACTCTGCTAAATTGGTTTAGACTAGGCCATACTAGTTTATACCTAGAGTGTGCGTAATTATATCAGGAACAACTAGTTTGGCCTAGTCTAAACTGGTTTATTCTATCGGGCTCAGGACAAATTAGTTTTGACTAGGCTATACTAGTTACTACCAGCCTTGGTTCTGAAATATCGTTATATTTCAGAGCCTTGGTTTACATCTGCTTTCTCTAAGAAAGTTTGATTGCAAATGTCGAATTCTGATCTATAAAAAACATATTAGCTACTTTAGAATATCATTAATGCTCCATAAAGATAGATAAGTAATTAAGTAAGGAAAAATAAAACCTGAATGATGAAAAAATAAAAAATAGTGCCGAGGTTTACAAACTGAGCTACAAGCGTACACACTAGAACCTCTTACTGTATCACGCATGTTACGGTTACAGCAGCTAATGAGTTTTAGCTGAGCCAAGCTTTACTGTCTTCCGAACTCCCGACAAAAACAAAAGAATCAAACAAAAACCAATTACAGCAAACACACTTCCTCCACTTTCTTCCAGCGTTATTTTTACATGACGCGACCTGTACAAGTCCTGATATGTTTGTTCAATTACTTTCGGCTCTGCTAAATTGGTTAAGACTAGGCCGTACTAGTTTATACCTAGAGTGTGCGTAATTATATCAGGATCAACTAGTTTGGCCTAGGCTAAACTGGTTTATTCTATCAGGCTCAGGACAAATTAGTTTTGACTAGGCTATACTAGTTAATCCTATCGCGTATAGGAAGAACTAGTTTAGCCTAGGCAAAACTAGTTTGTCCTGAAATCGGGTTTGGCCGGTAACATATACAATTCTTAGGGATTGTATAGAGTGCCTGTTGGCCCACCGGGCATGTGTAAAAATATGTACAAACAGATTTAGCCCGTATTTATCCTAACCAGACCTAACCTAGCCTACCCAGCTGCATATAAAATGACGGATGGATCTTATAATTCTTACCGAATCAAATCGCGGCAATAGCCTATCACTCGCGTTTCGTGCCTCGATAGGTATTGCGGGCAGGGTTCAATTAATATTGCCCAAATATTATTAGTAAATGCGCGTACACGAATGTTTTTTATAAAAATAGAACCGACTACAAATAAAGTAAAAATGTAAAAGTCAGTTGTACCGACTGATATATTTGAAGTCGATCGGTATTAATATCATGATCTCCCTGCTAAACACATGCCTTGGTATCGACTTCTAGTATATCAGTCGGTAAATCTTATTTTCTTACATATTTTTGTTTATTCTATTTTTATTAAAAATTATTTTATTATTACTGTCATACAGAATACGCTACTATTCTAGAATACTACATCGATATTTTGTGGAGCAGTTATAAAATTAAATCTAAGCACACACCAAACAGTTGTTTGGTAGTGTAGTTACACACTAACTATATACACATACATGCGCGCATATCCATTTAAACACATATTGCGCATACATATACTTAGACACGTACACATTCATACACACACAGATACATAACCCTTAATAAAAATTCATTTACATACATTAAATAAAAATAAATATCAGGTACTTAACACAGAACACAGAAATGCGCAACAATGGCATGCAACAAGTACAATTTTTATTTTAACGATGTTAGAGCCGATTTTTACACCCCGAACGTAGACTTGGAATGCAACCCAGCGTTACAAACGACCCCATTCACAGACAACGTTATGTCATTATGACATCCCTCCAATCTCTGGTGCATTATGCGCTAGAGTCTGTGCGGAAAGAGAATGGGATTTAGATTGGAGGGCGCTGTGGTACTTTTCTACCGTATTTGTAAGGTTTTACCTCCCTTTTAGACATGATTAAATACAAAAAACCGCAAGAAATCACAACAACAAACAAATCCGTATCAATACAAAAGTTTGACGTTTTACAGATTGCTGGGTTTGATTTCCAAATAAAAATCTTAATGTTAGTGCCGTTTTTCGCCACGCCCATTCTCATTCCGCACAGACTCTAGCCTCACTATATAGTTTGTGGGTGCATTTTCTAATTTGTTACTTTGAGACCTTTGTACGATTTAGTAGAATGGATGGAAGCCACGTACACAATGCCACGTTGGGTCGCAATAAAAATATCTCATTACCTCCAAGGGATCCAACAAAATGGACCAAAATTAAACAGCAAGCCACACCGTGCCTCACACCTATTTCCTAAGCCTTGCATGCATGACGCGATAGATCCAACGGTAAGTTTACTTGATCTTGCTATTGTCTAATTGAGTAGTTAGGAGATGTTTTTTTAGGTGATTTTTAAATGTGTACTTCTACGAACCTTGTGTTTTGTGAGTCTCAGATATTACAGCACTGTTGATCATGGTATATCTCCATTAATAACATACATTAGTTTATTATTAAAACAGCTCAATATTTAGTGGTAAAATCATAAAATCACATTTTCTCTCAAATGATTTGCATTGCTAAAACGGAACTTAATTTTGTTTGAGACCTTAATTGAACTGTTATTAGTACTAAATTTTTACTTATCACTTAACGAAGTTTCATTTCGGTGAAAATATAAACGTATTTAAAAAAAAAAATATGAAAACCTATCTGCTCCTAGGAAACCGTTTCTTTATTAGATTATCTCGATTGTCAGTCAATCTTCAGATAAATTCTATTATCGACACACGGTTGGGGACATTCGAAATAATATAAAAGATAAATCATTTTTTTCTCAGTATGTATCCTTAAACGATGGCGTTCTCACGCACACCGATTGTTATTTTTTGCATAGTAATAGCAGTTAAAGCAAATCTAATAAAGCAGCAAGGCGATATTGCAGTTATAGAAGAATATATTCAAAGTAAAAAGTCGGAAATAAATCATAGGTTCAAACTACACTACCATGTGACCCCACCGGTTGGATGGATGAACGACCCCAACGGATTTTCATATTACAAAGGTGAATACCATCTATTCTATCAATTCTACCCGTATGAAAGTAAATGGGGCCCAATGCATTGGGGTCACGTCTCAAGTCCTGACTTGGTTGAATGGAAACAGTTACCAACAGCTCTAGTCCCCGAGGAGGAGATGTGTTTTTCTGGAAGCGCAGTTGCCGATGGTGATAATTTAGTGTTGATGTACACAGGCCGAATCAACTTAGAAGATGACCTTTACTATGAGAGTCAATACATTGCTTACAGTAATGATGGCATTGTATACAATAAATATGAAGGTAATCCAGTATTAGCTTCTGCCCCAAATAATTCTCCAGATTTTCGTGATCCCAAAGTATGGAAGCACGAAGAGTACTGGTACGTCATAATTGGAAGCAAAACTGAAGATGATAGAGGTAGAGTGTTGCTGTATAGGTCTCCAGACATGAAGAACTGGGACTTTTTATCAGTCATTGGAGAATCCAACGGTAGCATGGGCTATATGTGGGAATGTCCAGATTTTTTCGAGTTAGACGGAAAGTTCGTAGTTTTGTTTTCTCCACAAGGCATAGAGCCTCAAGGAGATAGATACAAAAACATTCATCAAACCGGTTACATGATTGGAAGTTTTGATTATGAAACATTTGAATTTGTACCAGAAGTTGACTTCAAAGAAATAGATTTTGGTCATGATTTTTACGCTTCACAAACTATGGAATGGAATGGTAAGAGATTCCTTATTGCTTGGTTTAACTCATGGGATGTCCCGTATCCCGAAGGCGAAGATGGATGGACAGGAGCAATGACCATGGTTAGAGAAATTAACTTAGTAGGCGATACGATAATACAGAAGCCGCTAGAAAGTATGTTGAAACTGAGAGAACGAAACATTTGGACAGGAGATCTAAAGTCAATGGAATCTGTAGATTTCGAAAAGACAGGAGAAGTAATTATAAATGGTGATCTGTCCCAGAAAATAGAATTGTTGTTAGAAGGAAGTGACGGCGGTGAGTCAGCTTGGTTGAGGTGGGATCCAGAGGTTGGAAAAGTAGGTGTTGACAGAGGAGTTGCTGAGGATGTACGTCAAATGGAATGGGTGCCGATTGATTCTACTTCTTGGCGATTATTTTTAGATGCTAGTTCTCTTGAACTTTTCTGCGGGGAAGGAGAAGTGGTGTTTAGTAGTAGGGTGTATCCAGATGGAAATTGGAGACTGACTAACTTAAGCCCTCAAAACTTAGACGTTGAAGCATACCATTTGAGAAGGAGTATAGACGAGTAATTATTCAATTACGAGCTGTTTACTTTTGGAAAAAAATACAGTTTAAAATAAAGTTTTGCAAATATTGTGATCAATTCTTAAAATAACTGTTTTAATCCCCCCCCCCCCCCCCCCCTTCTCCTCCCGCTCCCATTATATCAACACGACTAAAAGCCATACTTTTTTGTGATTTGATACAACGAGTTACATATAGAAATGTACAATAGGTTTTGGCAATGAATATTCGTCAATCAATCGTCCTTTCAATATGCTAGTATAGCACTATGGTAATTTTCCGCGATAATTTTAATTTACTTAATACGTTTCTGACGTTTCCTAATTTTACCTGGAAAATTGTTTCATTCCCATAAATTTTAGATAAGGAAATTACTGGGTACATCACTGCAAGCAACTAGTTACGTCTTCTAGTTATGAAGTAAACTCAAAAAGGTCATTGAGTAATATATAATAATTTACTTGCCCAATTTATTGATATTTTGTTATTGTATTGTTATTTGGATTTGAATTAAGATAATAATTAGGAACATAAATAATAATTAATTTGTATGTCGATATTACTGGACCTCTTTTTGCATAAAAAGGCGCTTAATTTCACGCGCAGCTCCATTTCCAAATTTACTTCACCAATAAATTTATATTCTGTGTAAATGCAACTTAACTTCATTTTCCATTGCTCTGTTGTCAAGTGAGGTACCGGCGGTATGCCAAAGCTGGAGTGAGGTTAACCGTTAATAGTTTACCATTAATCATACCCTCCGTGGCAGGCAAACTATTTGACTTCTTGGTTTACCAAATCCATCGGCCAACTGTTTTCAAATGAATGATATTATTTAAAGCATTGGGGTTTCATCTACGTTTTTTTACCATTAGATAAATTAAAAAAGTAAATTCGTTTATTGGTGTTATGAAATTTTCAATTATTTTACAACCTACATTTAATGTTGCTTTGTTTTAAGTGACTTAACCATTTTATTTATGAGTCCAGGTACAGAGCGCTTTCTAAGCAAAGTAACTACATCCTACAATATCTCTGTTATTTTGTGATGTATTTCTGCATAAAATAAGGTTTTTAGGATTCCACCTATCAACGATTACGATCGTTAAATCCATAGCGGCGTAGTTTCCTGATTAATTCTTCATGAGAAACGCAATCAAAAGCCTTGGACAAATCACTGAAGACACCCAAAAGCATAACGCGACTCCTACCCGGCATCAAAAATCTTCTAAAATAAAGTCCCTAGGAATATCCAAAAATTAAACGTCATAAATTTATAGCTACCATTAAAAGCCTATTAAATAGTGTCTGATTATATTTCTGACAAACATGCTTGGGTTTTCTATACAACCGTAGACACCATAACAATATAATATTTTGGATATATTTGGTACACAATTATTTAAAGATCTGAAGTTTTTTTCGCCAGTTTTTCTACACCTTAACTGGTGCTAAAAATGTCCTTAACTGGTGGTAGGAAGAAAAATATAGACGATTCAAAAGAGTTGTATTGTGCATCCGATTTGAATAAACATATTTTGCTTTACTGTTTGAGGAAGTGTCAAGAATAACATATCCAATGAAATACCATCACAGTCAAGCAGAGTGTGAAGTTGCACATTATTTGCATTTTCAAAACAACTCCAGTCAATGGCTTCAAGATCACCGTCCCACAGGTCCCGAAGTATGTCTCTTAGAGGTCGGTACTATAGAGTTCTACCCAGAATGGATAGAACCTGGGGACGTGACTCTTCAGTAAAACAACTAGACGATGGTTATTATTTTATATTATCATTCAGGCGATTATAAAGAATTTTTATCTAAATACGAGAGGAAGTTCTTGGTGCCTGAAGATCTAATCTTGAATGGAACCTTCTATCAAAAGACAGACGATTCCTCATTTCAAATCTTAAAATCATGACATTATCTTTTTAATATAACTGCCAACCGTAGGCATTGCAAAAGCAAAGAGTTTACCTAAACAAGGAGGCTGTGACGTTTCGGACGTCACAGTACTGTACCCAACGGGGTTGTGATTTTTCTTTTTTTATCTTAAACTCTGCTGTCTGTGGTCTGGGCGGGGGATGTGTCGCAAACGATGGCTAGAAAACTTAGGTGATTTGTCTTCCTCACCCTCTCTTAACCAAGTCTCATTTATTGCTATGATATCACGGTCCAACTCCTCCATTGCCACTATAAACTCCTCATGTCCCGTAGTGAGAGACCCAGCATTAAAAATTCCTACTTCGAGATTCTTATTCCTAATCTTTGTTAAAATTACTGATTATTATACCTGCAATAGTCACAAACATACATTCAAAATTGTAGGAAAATATATCAATTTTACTTTGGATAGTATTAAAATTTGTAAATGTAGTCTAAAATAGATTTGTATATTAATAGTAGTACCGTTATATGTAGTATTTTCTAAATAACTAGCGGCCCGCCCTCGCTTCGCTTCGGTGTAGAGCTGAAGTGTAGACTACAGTTTTTGTTCTCAGGCTTGTATTATACACAACGACTTTTATCTATGATTCTTCTTATACCTGCATGCAAAGTCTCAGCCCGATCGGTTTAAAATTGACAAAGTTTCATACAAACTTTCATTCCCTTTTTTATCCCCTTGGGGGTGGAAGTGATCATAATCCTTTCTTAGCGGATACCTACGTCATAACATCTACCTGCATGCCAAATTTCAGCCCGGTCCGTCCAGTGGTTTGGGCTGTGCGTTAATAGATCACTATGTCAGTCAGTTAGTCACCTTTGAGTTTTAGTAGTAGTTTTATATATATATATGAGATAGAATTTGCGCGATGGCGGCGCGCGAGCTCACATTCCTGCCAAACTGACAGACTGTCAAAATATTTCTCTATAGATATTAAGCAAAATCTATGTTTGAACTAAAGTATTATTGTCACCAACACTGTCACTCAATTATTGCATATTAAAAATGTTTTTTATACCACTTTACATGTATTATTTTAGGTTTAACAATCTTTAAATAAAATGTTAATACGTAGATAATCTTTACTTAATAACGCCCTCTAGCGGGGTCTTTATCGGACAGTTATGTAACACTGAAAACCCTCGCATCGTTTTCGTTAATCGGCATTACCAAAGCCCAAGTGAAACGGGCGTTTTAATCCAACGAAACAATCAATGAATTTAGTTGATCATTAATGTAATTAAATTTATCCGAATAAAGGTATAAGCACACGTACACATACTCGTATATAACCAGGAAAACGGATAGTCGCCGCCTCAACATTTTTTTTTCGAAATTGTCCTGAGCTCGTATTTCGATTTTCACCTGCAAATAAGTATCTCGGTAATGTGACACTTTAGGATACCAGCTACTTTTTGGTTCGCCTATGTATCCTTTACCTATACCTACTACTTACATAGTACGCCGCGATTTAAAAAAAAATCGATAGGCCAGATCGGTTCTATACCCTGTTTCCAGTGGCGTTGTCGTATTATAAAACATTGGCTAAAGTTAAACTCGGTCTAACATTAATGATGTCACTTCTGTTAGCTATAGACGACTAAGACATCACCAAGTTTAAAGCAGTTATAATTTTAGTGCACCTTTTATTTTATGGCGGATAAAGTTTTAATATAATATAGGTGATCGTCGTCGTAGTCCTAATCTAACTTACGAAGATTTTAATGCCGCAGAAAAGACGTAAGAAGCTGACGGGGCGCGGACTTTATGTCTCTTCCGGGTCCTTTTCATGCAAAATGTATAGAAGTGTCACGACGCAAAACATACAGACAAGACAGGCTGCAAACAGTGGCAGACACGGAGCTTCTATCTATACATTTTGGATGAAAAGAACGCGGAAGAGACATATGCCCACGCCGTGTCTGCATCTCACGTCATATTAGAATATTCTTCTTCACTAGCTAATAGGATACAAGTAATTGTCTAAACCTGAGGATAGGGTATTTGACAGTGTTAAAAATAAGTGCCAATTGTTAGCATCTGTGTTTAGAATGAATATTGGCAGGGGTTTTTACTATTTTTACAAAAAAAATATTCATAATTTTACTAAAAACTAACGAAAAAGATAATAGTTTTCTTATCTATTGTCATTTGACCCAAAACGCTTGGGATTGGCGGAGCCTAAAATGACGACACACGCAACTAAACTTCCGTTTAAGTGACATTACATTGTATCGTTTGACATTTTAATAACAGTCGTGTGGACAATATGGCGTCTTACACACTAGTAAGACGCCATATTGTCCAGAGAAACGTTTTCGCGGCAACTTGAAAATGGAGTTTTTAATTTGGTTATTTTTACTGAAATACACAACAGAATGATGAATATCCACTTTTTACGGACTCCATCAACATTAGTCAATAACGTGAGATCGTTTTCTAAAACTTATCAAATACCTTATTGATGCACACTGTATGCTGAAATACAGGATGAAAATCCTGGTTCGACAGCAGATGCTAAAGATTGTATTTTATGTTCTTAAATAATGTCTATAGTTTATAAGACATAATGTAATTTACATATGCTGGTCTAAATAAAGATAATTATTATTATTATTTTCTTAATAACTTGAGTTGAAGTGTAACATCATTTTGTTAATATAATTTATTTGAAAAGAATTTAATTATTGATAATTAATAAAAGAGTATAAGATATCTCACCTCGAATTAACGGGTAAGTTCCATTGTATTTAATCTCGTTAGGTTTTAGAATATCCTAGGTCTAAAGTTTAATTCTAAGGATATCGTGTGTGGTTTAGGTCCTTTAATATACTTGTTGTGAACCTTGGACTATGTTGTGACATTTGTCCTGATGGGAATGTCTTATTGAAGAATTATGTGGATTAATCTCCTCATAGCTTGAAGCTTTGTTGTTGGGCATGCGAATCGTCCATTGACGCCGATGACAGCATATCCACTTTATTGACAATAACAATTAACCACCACGAGATGTTCCCGGAGTCTTAATATAATTTTATTGTGAATCTTAAACTTAACCTGTGCATCCACTGAACTACAGGATTCTTAGTTTTTATATATTATATGTATATAAAGATGGAAAAAGTAATTGATCTTAAAGTAAA